TCAGCCTGCTCATCATTTCTTACAGCACAATAGTATTCCATTACATTCATATACCACAACTTGCTCAGCCATTCCCCAATTGATGGGCATCCTCTCAATGGAAAGAACATTTTTAAAAGATGCAAAGAAATGGCTACATCTTCCCCCAAAGTACCAGTACTGAGTCTTTGTATCTCTCCCATAAAATATGGGTGGGGTGGAGAGATGAATGTGCTCCATGAAACATCAGGCATCAGTCAGGTGGCTCATGGGATGACGCATCTGGCATCATCTGATCTGTATCAACTGTCATCATACTCTAATTCATATGGTGAAGAGCAGAATCGAACATGACTCTCAGCCAGAAGACCTTGCCATTTATTTAAATGGCTTCAGGGGAGAAGAATTTGGAAATGAGGGCACAGTTGGTCCTGGCTAACCGCTGTCGGCTAAAATTTTAATTCAATGGAAAGCAAATAATGGTACCGTGTTCCTCTGGCTGAATTGTAGTCTGTTGGCCCTAAAAGGAGTGGAGAACCTGAAACAAGTGCTGAGATATTATTTTAAACAGCAGCTAGTCTGCAAACCCAATAAAGGTTCATTGTTGTTTGTCTTTCATTCTCTAGGAGGACCATGACAGCAGGAAGGTCCTGCTTCACTTGCAAGCAATTGGATTTAAGTGAGGGAGGGCTGTGCAAGGTCACCAGCTTCACTCTCTCCTTAGGAGCAATCTGGGTCCAGTGGCAAGATATAGATCAGGATGATTGGAGATGGCCCTGGATGCAGTGGGAGACCTTGGTCTTTTTAAGCTAAGGTCTTTAATAGGTCTCAGTTTGACTGAGGCAACACCCATTCAGTGACTAAGGCTAGGTAAGAAATGAGGTAGAGGATGGCCTCTTTTATCTAGTGAAAAACCAAAATCAATATGGGACGGGAAGACCCTCAGGATTTCTGGCTAAAATAGAAACAATTGCAATTTACACTCTATTTACACTATTTACACACTCAGAGCCATCAGAGCCCAAACAATGACCAAGTGAAGCTTGGGTTGGGAGCTTTTCTCAGATCAATCAACGAGAGCCAGAGTGATTTGGGTTTAAAAAAAAATCTAGCCCATAAACCCAAGATATCTTGTGAGGTTATAATGATCAAAATTTATATTCCTTTGGGCAGAGCACCCACAGGTAAGGGTATGATTCCCTATGTGGACAGACGGAGAGAAGGGAGAAAGATTAGGGAAGGAAAGAAGGAGGGAAGGAGGATGGGAGAGAAGAAGGCCAAAATATTACTTTTACTATGTTACTGTTACTATTTAAATTTTTTTCTTTTTTTCTCTCTCCTCTCACCCACCCTAGAGATTCCACCATAATGCACAAATAAGTATATATATATATATATATATATACACATATATATACACATACACACACACATAAACACACATACATACATACATATGTAAAATTATTCTATATATACTCCTATTTATCAGTTCTTTTTCTGGATGCAGATAGTATCTTTCTTCTTACGTCCTTTATAGTTAATTCAAATATTTATAGTCAAAATGACTCACTTAAAGTAACTTTATTAGATATTTAAAAGGAATAGCAAGTTGTACATAATAGATTTGCAGTTTCATATGCAATTATCTTTTTTTTATTATACTGTTATGAAAATGCTTGTTTTATTTCATAAATTAAAAATAAAATAAAATAATGTGAAAATGTATATTCTGTTACCTCAATGGCTATGGCCTTTTTTTTTTTTTTTTTTTTTTTGCGAGGGTGGGATTCTTTACTCAATTCACAGACCTTTGATTCATTCATGAAGCCAGACTGGACAGCATCCCATCGAATGTGGGCCAGGAGATTTGGCTCTGGAGACAAGTTCTGTCCTTGATGTGAGGCACGGAATGAATATACCAATATACCAAATAAAGTCCTCCATGAAGTAGGGCTATTACTTAATGGCAGGATGTTATTCTAAATAGATTAGTTAAAAGTCATCAAAATGCTGGGAAAACAACAACAACAACAAATTTTCAAGTAAATTGAACAGTTCCAGCTTTTAGACTGGATTTAGTTAGTAATCCTGGACAAGAAGAACTATATGCCCTTTGAAAATAGTCTCTCTTTTACTAGCAGTGTGACCCTCGGTAAGTCACTTAACCCTGACTGCCTCCAAAAAAAAAAAAAAAAAAGGAAAAGAAAAGAGTCTACCTTTCAAACCGCCAGAGATGACAAAATTGAGAAATGCCAGATACTTCGTCAGCAGCTAGCCCAGGGAAATACTGAAACACACTGTTAGATGGGGGACTTAGGAGGATGGAATCCAGCCAACATATTGCACTATACTAAATTAAAGAGCATTCCAAGATAGGTTAGCCTGATATCAAGAAGCTGAAATTGAACTCCATCCAACGACCAGAGACGTAGGTGCAGAGTAACAACAGTAAGAATGAACCCATGACAGGAATACATACAGGACCAACTGTGTTTCTTTATTAACTTAATTTATATACAATGTTCTCTGATTTTCCTTGTGAATTATTTTATGATTGAAATGTACATATGTAATGTTTATCTCTTTTGATTTTATAGTACACGTTTACTATTATCAGGTATTTGATTGGTTAACTCTGTAAAACATAATCGAAATCCCTGTAAGCCAGTTCACTTGAACATTAGTTGAATAAAGTGACTTTTGGGGCATGGTTCCAAATCACCAGACCAGTTCACAGCTCTACCGACAGTGCATTGACGCTTAGCTCTGTAGCTTATACATAGTAGGCACTTAATGCATTCTGTTGAATTGTATTGAAGGATCTTGAGGCCTGATTAAGCTCCAATTTATTAGAAGGACTACTACCTCTCTTAGACCATGTGACACCAAGATTGTGAAGCTTTCACTAGTGGTCCACTAGAACCCCCAGATCATTTTCACAGTAAGCACTGTTTATCCCTGCCTCCCCCATTATAACTTGTGAACTTGATTTTTTTTCTCTATCCAAATATAGGACTTTCAATTTACCAGTGTAATTTCATGTTATTAGATTCAGCTCAACATTCTGGCCTCTCATCTTCTTTTTGGTTCCTTAATCTGTCATCCAACATTAGCTGTCTTTACAGCCTGCTGTCATCTGCAGATTTGATAAGCATACCAGTTATGCCTTGGGTCAAGTAATTGATTAAAACACACACACACACACACACACACACACACACACACTAAATACCACATGGTCCAGGACTAGTCTCTGGGGCACTCTGCTGGGTGACATTATTCCACATTTACACTGACTTAATCAATCAATCAATAAACATTTACTGTACATTGTGCCCGCACTGTGGTAGGTGCTGGGGATACAAAGACAAAAGGCACATAGTCCCTGACCACAGGGAGCTTCCATTCTAGTAGGGGATATAATGACTGCACTTTAACTCTTCTATCATCAAACCCAAATCTCTCCATTTTGTTAACAAGAACAGTTTGAAAGACTTTGTTAAATGCTTTGTTAAAATAGCCCCCTTATCAAAAAAGTAAAACAGGATTAAACTCAAATGACTTATTCCTTTTTTGGGGGGAGGTGAGGCAATTGGGGTTAAATGACTCACCCAGGGTCACACAGCTAGTGTCCAGTGTCTGAGGTCAAATTTGAACTCATGTCCTTCTGACTCCAAGGCCGGTACTCTATCCACGGTGCCACCTAGCGGGCCCCTCAAATGACTTATTCTTGATGAAGCTGTCCTGGCTGTTTGTGATTGTTTTTTTTTTTTCTATATTTGCCAACCATCTCTCTAATAATACATTCTAGAATAGTTCCATGTGTAATAATGATGAACAGCTAACATTTATAGATAACTACAAAGTTTCCCAAGCCCTTTCTATTATCTCATTTGGTCGTTACAACAAACCTGTGAGGTGAGTGCAATTATTATCCCCATTTTACAGAGGAAGAAACTGAGGCTGAGAGATATTAAGTAACTTGCTCAGGGTCGCATGATTCTCATCTAAGGTTGCCTCGGAACTCAGGTCTTCCTGACTCCAAGTCCCCATTCTACATACTGCACCACCTAGTAGCGGTTGAGACAGTCCACGTTGTCTTTGATGCCCCAGTACAGGACCCGACACTCACTAGGGGATGGATAATTGAACTGAAGCCGAAATGGGCATCTTTCTCTCTCTATTTTCTGCCCATCGATCAAAGTCGGGCACAGTCAACCAGCACAGATTAAGAGGTTACTATGTTTCAAGCACAGTCCTAAGTACTAAGAATACAAAGAAAGGCAAAAGACAGCCCCTGCCTGCCTTCGAGAAGTTTACAATCTAAAGGGGGAGAGAACAGATACACAAACAAACTGTAGGAAGAATAAATTGGGAAATAAACGATAGAGGGAAGGCATTAGCATTAAGAAGGATCCGGAAAGGCTTCTTCTAGAAATAGGATTTTAGCTGGGATTTGAATCACTGATTCAAAGAGACCTTATAGCTCAACCGGTTCACCCCATTAGACAGATGAGGAAGCTGAGGACCATCCGGAAGGTCAAGACACTTGCCCAAGGTCCACATGGGTAGTGTGTGATGGAGGCATAATTTGAACTCAGGTCCCTTGCCTACAGAGCCAGGGCTCTTTCTATTGCCCTACCTGCCTCCTACTGCTGGGGCTCAGCTAGGATGACACGGTCTCAGGCCGTAAGGCTCGGCTTGACTCCGACGCTCCCTCCTTCCCTCCCAACACCCAGATCCTGGGGGCTCACTCACTACTAACCCGCTCACCCCACCTTGGGAGCTCCGGCCCCGCCCACCACAGACGTCACCGAGGATCTCCACCAGCCCCGCCCACGCTCCCGCCCCTTCCTCCGCGGCGCGTGCGCACTGGGCTCTTCCCTGCTTCCGCCTTCTCGCGACAAGCCCCGGGCCGCCGGCGGCCTCGCGGGACGCGCCGGCTTCTCGCGTGAGCGGGGCTGCGGGGTCTGTGGGGCCAAGACCACGGGGTGGACGGGGCTGCGGGCCTGGGCCGGGGCCGGGGCCGGGGCCGGGAGCGGGAGCTGCATGTGTCGCTTCTGTGGCCGGAGGCAGCGGGGACTGTGCGGGCGCACGGGTAACGAGGGCCGCTGGGGGGCCGCCGGGGGCCGGGGAGGGGGCGCGGGCGGACCCCGAGGGGCCGCCGGGCCCGGAGCCTGCACCCCGCGGCACGCGCGCGCACACGCACGCACACTCCCTCACACTCCCTCTCGCACACGCACTCATCCCCCATCTGCTCCCGCGGCGGCTTCCGCCCTGCCCCCTCTCCTCCCCCCTCGCCATCCATCCCCTCCCCAACTCTCCCGCAGCCTTCCCCTCTCCAGCCCCCACGATCTCTGGTACTCCCTTCCCTGCTCCTCCACACCCCTGACTCTCTATTCCTCCCTAGACCTCCCCTTTCCCTTCCCATTCCTCACACCCTCTGATTCTCCCATCTAGACTCTCCCCCTTCCCTTCCCATTCCTCATACCCGCCCCCAGTCTCCATCTACACCCTCCCCCTTCCTTTCCCATTCCTCACACCCTCTGATTCTCCCATCTAGACCCTCCCCCTTCCTTTCATATTCCTTATACCCCCCCCAGTCTCCATCTAGACCCTTCCCATTCCTCACACTCTCTGATTCTCCCATCTAGACCCTTCCCATTCCTCATGCCCCCCGCAGTCTCCATCTACACCCTTCCCATTCCTCACACCCTCTGATTCTCCCATCTAGACCCTCCCCCTTCCCTTCCCATTCCTCACACCCCCTGAGTCTCCATTCCCTTCATGAACCCTCCTACTTCCCGTCTCCTTATACGAATCATTCCCTTTATCGACCCTCATCCTTTCCTCCACACCCTCTGATGCTCCATTCCCTTCCTAGGGAATCTACACCCTTCCCATTCCTCAGGGCCCACTGCCTTCCTTCCTCCATATCCTTCATGGATCTTCCAGCCTCTCATTTCACATCTTCTGATTTGCTGTTTCTTTATAGACTTTTACCCTTTACTCTTCTGCTCCTCATTCAAATGTGTACCTTTTTCTCTGATTTCCTGTACTCTCTGCTGTAATAATTTCTTCACACCCTCTCCTTATTTCATTTTCCTTTCTTCTCATTTGTCACATTCGCTCATTCTCCATTCTCCTTTCCTCTTATCCTCTTCAGACCTCCTGGTCCTTTTCACCATTTTTTCCCCTCATTCTTCAACCTCTTTGGACATCAAGTCTCAAGTCCTTCAGGCCCTCACCTTTCTCTCTTCATCCTTCATTCGTTCTGAAGGATACAGTTCATAAATGCATCCTCCAAACACTCTTCTGTGTAATTGGTTCATCCTTCACATCCTTTGATTCCTTATTACCTTTCTTTTTCCTCCATTTTGGGCCATCCCCTTTGCCTCTCACGTTTCATAGTTTGTGCCTCATACCGACTTACCCCTTCAATACCTCATTTCTCGTTCTTTATTCAGCTACTCTCTTCAGCCTCTCATTGAACAAGTTATTCAACCTCTTTAGGGCTTGTTTTCTTCTTCTAGCTCTTAGATTGGGATGCTGTGGTGTTTCATGATTTCTTCTATCCTTTGAATCTTCCTCACTCACCTACTTCTTTCCTCTGCATGCTCTTTGAGACTCTCTGCAACTTCTCATCCTTCTCATACACTCTGGTCTCTGTAAAATGGACTAGAAAAGGAGTTTTTAAACTGGGATTCATGAATTGTTTTTTAATATTTTGACAAATGCATTTCAACCTAATGGTTTCTTTTGTAATTCTGTGTATTTTATTTTATACTAAAAGCATGATTCTGAAAAAAAGATCCCTTAGGCTTCACCAGACTGTCAAAGGGGTCCATGACCCAAGAAAGATGAAGAACCCGTGGGATTAGGTTATATTCAAATTCTAAAATTCTCTGATCCCTTCTCTCTCCCTTTCCCTACTCCCCACTCCCCTTACAGCTTCTTTACCCCATACTCAAGAAGCCATTAGAGACCCTCACAGGATCCCAGATTTAGAGCTAGAAAAGATCATCTAGGCTAACCAGCTGGTTTTATGGAGGAGGAAACTGAGGCTCAGAGATGTTAAAGGCTTTGTCCAAGGTCACTCAGTCCTCGGAGTAGCCAAGTTGGGATTTGGATCCCACCTTTGTCGGGTATCCTCTGCTGCCCTGCCCCTCCTGCCTTGCAGGTTGAGCTTGTCTTTTCTGCACGAGTCTCTTTATGATCACATCCTTATCCGTCCTCCTTTCACAGACTCCCTGGACTGGAGATCTGAAAAGGAACCAAGAGACTGCGTAGTCCAGTCCCTTACAAATGAGGGAACTGAGGTCTGGAAAAGGGGAGTGCACTCCTCCGTTGCCTTTCTGCTCACCTTTGAGTCTTTGAACATTGCCTCCCTTCTTTTCTGATTCTTCTCCGTTGTCCAGCTCATACTCACGTCTTTCTTCTCTTTACCCCTTCATTCTTTTTGTAGTAGTTTGTTTTATGGGGTTATAGTTTTTAAGATTCAGAGCTGGAAGCCACGTATTCTCATTGTACACATGGTAAGACAGGCCCAGAGTGGTCAGGTGATTAGCCCACTTAATTATCTCCTCATCCATATCCTGGTATGTCTCCTTGTTTTTTGTTTCTTAGTACTGTTTTGTGAGCCTTGTTATTACAATTTAGTGCTCAACAACCTCTTTGAATTGGATAGATATGGGAGGAAAGTGGCTTCCTACTTGTGAGTGTTTGGTGTTTAAGGGAATTCATTGAAAATAATGAAGTTTTTCTTTTTCCCTTATAGGTTTGTGAGATGGCTACAGACTTTCCTGAGTCCACTGCCCCTGACTGCAAAGGAGACCTAAAAAGCAACACCAAGCTAGACGCGGATTACCCTCTTCGGGTCCTTTACTGTGGAGGCAAGTGTTTTCAGGCTGTGTTATGTCGCTTGTTTCCCTGATGATTAGTAGTCAGTACTGTTTTTCATTTTCACGTGTCCTAAGTTCCTTCAGAATTTTGTGTTTTTTATTAAAATCCTCTGCTAAATTTCTACCTCAATGCCTCAGTTTGATGAAGAGGTGACCGGGTTCTCAGATACCAAAAAGATTTCAAGCAGAGTTCCAAGGGTAGATCCACCTACTTGTTAACTGATTTCGGGTAGGCTGGTCACTTGCTTGACCCCAGGGTAAGGAACATTTCTGCCATTGCAGCTCACCTGAGGCATAAGAGCTGCTGACATTTGTATAGTACATCTAAGTCCAGAAGCACTTTACCTAAATATCCCATCTGAACTGGACAGTAGCCTTATAGAGGAGGTGCTACAAGTATCATCCCCATTTTACAGATAGGGAAACTGGGGCTAAGAGAGGTCATTGTTCCTGGTCACAGAAGAACTTCCTGGATCTTCCAAGTATTGTCATTAAATTTAAATAGTTAATGGATGGAATTTCGTATATGTGGACACAAATCTTGATTTGATTTTTTTTTTTTTGCTTTGTGTGTTTTCATTCTAATGTGGAGATATTTGTGAACAGGATGTGCTTTTGAAGTGTTGTTATAGTGGGTAGCGTGCCAGGCCTAGAGTCAGGAAGACCTGACTTCTAATCTAGCCTCAAGACTCTTACTAGCTTTGTGACCCTGGGCAAGTCACTTAACCCTTTTTGCCTTCATATCCTCATTCTGTAAAATGAGCTAGAAAAGAAAATGGCAAAAGCACTCTAGTATTTTTGCCGAGAAAACCCTGCATGGGGTCACGGAAGAGTCAGACGTGACTAAGATGACTGAACAACAACTCTTTCTAAGGGGGATTGAAATTATGCCAGGCCTGAAAGTCTCCATTCCTTACCTAGGTCCTCACCCTTCCCCTCTGCAGTCTTCATACCCCTTGAGTCTCTCTTCCGCCTTAGACCCTCACCTTTCCTTTCTCCTTCACACCCAAAATTTTGGCTTTTTTTTTTTGTTATTGTTTTTGTTTTTGGTAAGGTGATCGGGGTTAGGTAACCTGCCCAGGGTCACACAGCTAGTAAATTTCAAGTGTCTGAGGCTAGATTTGAACTTAGGTCCCCCTGACTGCAAGGCCAGAGGTCTATCCACTGCACCACCTAGCTTCCCCCACAGCCAAAATTTTGAAGGAATTTAGGACACAGAGAAATGAAAAGTCCAGGAAGTCTGGGGTTGATATAGCAGGTATTGTCAAAGGGGAAGCAGCGTGGGACAGGGGAGGATCCCTAGCTCTGGAGTCAGAGGACTGGGGTCCCACTTCTGCTTCTGCTGCTTCTTCCCTGCTGGGTGACCTTGGTGGAGTCAGTGGGCCTGGGCCTCTGCTCCCTCATCTCTGAGCTGAGAAGACTTGGATGGCATGGCCTCTCAGGTTTCTTCCAGCTCCCTGTCTCTGAAGGTCTTGATAGGAAAGTGGCACAGTACAGAGAAAGGAAGGGAGAACCTGCAGGCTGGGAAATGACACTGTCATCCTGCTTTGTGCTGGGGAGAGCTTGGATTAGGCTTGTGGTAGTGGAAATGGAGGAGGCCAATCTGAAAAACAGCAAGGATCAGGCTGGATGAGCCTACAATCTCGGTAGAGAGAATGAAGGGGAAAGAGGAGTGAAAAAGGACTCTGAAAAAAATGGGACTAACCCGGAAATGAGGCGTCTGGGAAAGGGAGGGCTGTGTGTTTGAGGGCACGATGATGAGTTTGACTTTAAGCAGTTTGCATTTCAGATGGCATCTAAGTAGAGAAATCCATTGGGTATCTTGAGATTTGGGTATGGAGCGGTAGATTTGGGAGTCCTTAGTAGTTTGAGGTAGGAGCAGATGGGATCTAGGATGTGAGTAGAGAGAAAGAACAGCAGAGGGACGGAGCCCTAGGTGGCACTCACCCTCAGGAGGGAGGCGATGTCTTACGTGGATCTGCCAGTGCCTGGCAGAGTTGGAGGGAAGCTCTGAGGTCCTGCAGCTCCGCTCAGTAGCCAGAGCACGAATTCCCTCTGCTAAGTGACCACGTCCAACCTTGGAGACCTCCTGTGGTGTGCAACTCACTGCTTACTGAGACTGCGTTTCATTTTTATCCAGTTCACATTGTTAGTAAATTTTTACTGACATGGAGCCATTGGTTCTGGTTCTGCCTGCTAGGTCACAGCAGAATAAATCCAAGCCCTCTTCAGCATGTTCAAGATACCTCAAACAGGAAAAGAAAATAGTGAAATTTGGTGGGAAAAATGTGGTAGAATGATTTTTTAGATATTTACCTGACTGGGGAATTGCCACTGGGGGACAATCCCCTCCCACTTGTAGTCTCTCTCTAAATATAACAAGAAGCATTGTGGTCTCTTGGGAACCAGGAAGAGCTGTGCTGCCTCTCGCATACACATGTTGTGTGACTCTGGGCAAGACCCTTAACCTTTCAAATGAGATATTTGTGAAGTGCTTAGCGCAGCGCCTAACGCAGCCAAAGGCGCTTAATCAGGGCTTGTTCCCTGCTTCTCTCCCTCTTAATGGCAACTTAAGGCCAACTTCCTAAGACTGGACGTTGCAGAGAAGGTGCGGACTTGAATTAACTGGTAAAGGTAGGGTTCCTCATCTGGGAGTTCACTCTGACAAAAAAGTTGTTGGGCCGGACCCCATTCCTATCCCAGTTTAGTAGTAATTGTTCACGTTTATATGGAATTTTATGACTTGCAACATACTTGACTTACATTATTTCATTTTGACCTGACAACGGCCTTGTGTGTTCGATGCTGTTCTGCCTCGTTTTTTAGATGGGGAAACAGAGTGAGAGAGGTTAAGCAACTTCCCTAGGGTCCTACAAACTAAGGCTGGATTAGAATCCATGTTTTCCTGATACGAAGCTTGATATGATGTGGAAACTTGAGATAAGGATATATTTTTTTTTAAATCTCACCTCTCCACAAATAGGTTTTTAAAAATAATTTCAGGGGCAGCTAGGTGGCGCAGTGGATAGAGCACCGGCCCTGCATTCAAATCTGGCCTCAGACACACAATACTAGCTGTGTGACCCTGGGCAAGTCACTTAAGCCCATTGCCTAGCCAAAAAAAAATGCATTTTGGCCTGAATTATCTGGGCTTGCGCACACACCCAAATGCACAAAATTTAGAATGCATAATGTAGAATGATAGAAACAGGGACTGGACCTTTGGCCCTTCTGAGCAAATTATAGTCTTGGAGCTTTGTTTAGAGCACTCACGAGTTAAGCGACTGTTTTGCAGGGTTTCAGAGCCAAGACTTGAACCTCGGTCTTTCATCCCAGCTCCTAGGCTGTATCTCTATTCACCAAACTCTGCTGCCTCTCCTATGTAAAATAGTCTTCAAGAAAGGGTTACAGATGAGAGGAAAAGATACAGAAGTGAAAGGAGGACGGCGTTCTAATGGGAGGAGGGAGTTCTGACTAATATTGTGTATTATGCCTTAAATGTTGTTGGGGTTAATACAGCTACTATTTGACATTACCTGGCTTTTTGTGGCATGAAATTTTTTAATAGTGGCCATTGTTCTGCTACCAAAATATGTTCATCTTAGTGTGAACGTAAAGTTACAAAAGCAGTTGTTTTAGTGAGAAGTTAGGAAGCTTAGAGTTTCAGGTTTGTCTTTCTAGTGTTTAAATTAGGTGATTGAAGGAGCAGTGAGCAGAGATGAAATTTCGATAACATGATAGTCCTGAAGCTAAGGGCTCTCCGGGAGTCACTGGGCACAAGCTATTTCTCAAAATCACATAACTTTAGGGGTGAAAGGGATTTCAGTGGTCAAGCCCATGCCCAGAGAATCTCCCCTCTGCCATGCTTGATGAGTGGTCCCCAGGGCCTCCTGCGAGGGGAGCTCACTGCCTCTCAAGGGAGCCGCCTTTACTTTTGGACATTTTAATTCGTTTTTCGTGACATCTCCTCTATATTGGTTCCTTTGCTTCCACCCATTGTCCCTGTTTTGCCTTCTAGGACCATCGATTTCTCTATGGCACCAGTGTCCTTACACTGTCTTGCCTAAAACTAAACACAATATTTGAGGTGTGATTTGACCAGGAGTATAGAGGGATTATCACCTCCTAATTCCTGGAAGCTATGTCTCTCTCAATTCAACCCAAGATTGTATTTGCCATTATTGTATTATTCATTCAGCTTGTTAGGCCACTAAAATCCCCAGATGTTTTTCAGACAAATTGCTATCTAAATGTAAATAGTACTTGTGAAGTTGATTTTTTTTTTTCAACCCATGTGTAAAATTTTATACTTACCCCTATTCAATTTCATCGTACTAGGTTACAGCCTTAACCTCTGACTTGTCAAGCTATTTTTAAAAGCTGATTCTGTTGTCCTGTGTGTTAGCGGTCCCGTCTTGTCTGAGGATTGGTTGAGTGGGCCATTTATCCAAGGCATTGATATCCAGCCCTGGAGTGCTTCATTGGCCACCTCCTCCATAGTAGCCATTGAGCCCTCAACTACGCCGCGTCTGACCAATCAGCAAATTACAGGTGGTCTGAGTTCACTGTCTTTTAGTTCACCTACTTTTCCATAACAGTAACAATAGATACTTTCCCCAATGCTTTGCTAAAGTGGAGATAAACTATAGGAATTACATTTTTAAACTTAGTAAAACTTGTTAGGGGAAAAAAACGCTGTTGGGACCTATACTTGATGAAACCATGCCGGCTCCTTGTAATCACCAATTCCTTTGCTTTTAAGTTTAATTAATGAATTTATTAATACAAATCAAATTCAATTTAATTAATAAATTTAATTGATTCTCATGAAAACCTACCTTTTTCTCCCACATCCCCATACCCTATGGAAAAAGAAAAACAAAACACATATAGCAATTATGCACAGTCAAGCAAAACAAATTCTTACATTGCCACAAGCCAAAAAAATATGTTTCAGTCTGCACTCTTGAGTCTGTCACTCCTCTGGCAAG